GCGATTTGAAGGAGCTTCGGCGAGTGACGTTCTCGTGATAATACACGGAGTATGGGGTGACGTTCCCCACCTTCCATTCGTCCTACGCTATCGATATTTATGAAATAGATTCTTATTGCATTTCTTATTTTTTTTTATTGCAGTTACAAAATGAAAAAGCGAGCAGAATTTTGTGGGTGCAAATCGAGAATATGCAAAGCTCAAGACTGATTGAGGAGAAACGGGTAAGGAAAGTCAGTTCTTCGTTTACAAAGAACTTAACTGATAATACACTTTGTTTCTGCAATAGGATAGAATCAAACGCAAGGTCGATTTACGCTCGGTCGACATTTTTGATAAGTCTACAACCAGTCAAGGAGACGAAATTATGAAACTTTATGATGACGATAATCAAAAAAAAAAAATAATTGAAGAGTACAGCCGAAGACTTTCAGTCTGATAGTGATTCTTTTGCGGATTTATTTACCGTTGGAAGTGAGGAGTCATCAACTGACATTCAATATCCTCCCATTGAAAGTGAGGAGTCATCAAGTGTACTGGAAAATTTGGAGAATAAGAATCGTTTGGCTACTACATACAAGGTTGTTTCCCTCTTCGATAGACAATTCCCAACATATTGAGATAGTTTTCTGACAAAGTGGCGTATTGCGATCTCAATAATAAAAAGTTCTCTTATTAGTACGCATTTTCTTTTTAAGACGTCGGCTGGCAGTTATTTCGCCACCGTTCATTGCTTTTAATTGGGCCATTAAAAATATACACAGTCAACCCCGTTAAACCGAACCCCGTTAATCCGAATATCTTGTTTATTTCTTGAACACGCCTCCAACCCTATGTAAATTACCTCGTTAAACCGAAAATTACTATTAATTCTTATATAAGCTGTTAACCGAAGATTATTTTGAACCGTCTATTACTACCGTATCCTCTCGTGAATAAGCACCCCCCCCCCTTTCGATCATATGAAAATGATCGGCAACCATCACGTAAATAATAAACTTTAGTATTAGGGGGTTGTCTAACAGTAATCGCAGAACGAAGACTTTTAATAAAAATTTTATTATCACGTGTTATTATGTAATA